TGAATACTGATTTTTTTTTTTTTCATGCATTTCGAGTTTAGTTTATGTATTATTGATCTTATTTTTTACGCTGATCTGTCAGAGTCAAGGCTTAATAGATATATAATACATGGAAAGCAAAACATTAACAAATAAACATTTTCAGAACAATACCTTTTTACAATACAAAATTTTGATCAAAATGATATAAGCTGGTTTATAAAGTCACAGACAGCTGGAAAAGTTCAAATTTAGGGTTAACAATTTCACATATTTGTCAGTATTCAATGGTTGATTGATTGTTAGTTGTTTAAGGTCCAGTTGCAAATATTTCATACATGTTCAGGAGGATCGGTATTCAATAAATTTCTATGAAAAAAATTATTTCTCATATTGTTTTTTGAAATGACAAGTAAGGAAGAAATGACATTCACCTTCAACTTCATTCTAACAATTTTACAGAATTTAATATTGATGAGGAAAAATATGTTGATTTTGATAAACCTTTTAAACTAATAAAAAATTCATTTATTGAAAAAACCAATTGTTAAAGAAAAGTATGATGAAAATTACTCTTGAAAAACTTTCAAATATAGATTACAGTTCAAAACATCACCTTTTATAGTGAACTTAAAAATGAAATTAAATTAGAAAGACTAGTAGCACAATCTGAAAAATTTTAATAATCCTCAACTTTTAACAAAATTCTGTAAATTAGTGACAATAACTCACGAAGAAATTGAAACAGGTCGATATAAGAAAATTCTAAGATAAGATAAGATCAGATATTTTATAAGTATAAAATCCAAACAATTGGATTGCTACTAAATACAAGCACAAATAAACAATAAACAATACAAATATGCATCATTTACAAAAAATATTAAAATGTTAGACAACATTCCTCCCCTTTGAATTAGCATAAATGATTATATTTAGAAGAAATGCTGCTCAACTCTATTTTATTCATTCATATTTTAGATTATAGTAAAGAAATAAGATATACATGTAAAATCAACAGTTCATACACAAATGCTTATATTGTTTCTGGAATTATACATCTCACTTGTGCCATTAACTATAATTATCAAAATGTCATATTCTTTACAAGAGAACATAAAATTAAATTTTTCCCAATTACTCATTGAAATAAAACTAGGAAAAATATCATAAATTTCATAAAACATTTTCATTCTAGAGTAACTGAGTTGTGTACACATTATTGCAAAATGGAATTCATCTTCTACCTCTATAAGGGCATAGGGGGCACAATCTATTTTGTAAAGCTGTATTGTTATACCTATCATGTTCAATAGCTAGCGTGCTGTTACTTATTCTTATTTTTGCATAGTTTTTAATAACATTTTTATCTGAATTTGATAAAAGATATTTTTCAAGTTCATACTTTACTTTAAATTTTCTATAAGTTCTTAACTTATTTCCATTCATTGAATTGTCATCATTAAAAAGATTATTTTTCCTAAATGTATTGTAACTTTCCTTAAGCTTCTTTGCTAAAGCTGAAAGTTATCGTTTTTTTAGAAAAAGTACATTGATTTTCTCAAATATGAGAAAAATTTTAATTGGAGAGTAAAATTTAAATTTTTGAAACAAATCCATCAGGTAAAACTTCCAAGAGAACATAGAGTGTGTAAAGTTTGTAAAATTTTAGATGATGATGAACATTTTTCGCTTCATTGCCAAATCGGCAGTTATATTAGAAATGTCCTTATAAATGCAATTAAAACCCATTATCGTAACTTTAACCAGCTTGACTCAAACTCTAAACTTAAAACTATTTTAGATCCCAATAAATATATTCTGTCTAATGTTGTGGGCTATATAAAGCAATCTATTGGAGTGTCAAAAATGAGGTCCACATTGGTCAATTATCTATATACTTATATAATATTAATATAACTTAACTAATGTTTAGAACTTTTTTCATGTGTTGTATGTTTCTTGTATACATGTAACGTTAGCATCTTAACCCGTCAGGGGTTTTACTTTTTGAAATAAAGATATTTATTATTATTATACTTCACGTTAAAATGCCATACTTTGATTGGGTAATACAAGGGTGTTAATTTACTCTTATCACATGGCTGAACGGGTGACAATTTTTTTAATGTCACCCTCTCGTCCAGACCAATCAAAAAATCGATAATTTAAAGGACAATGAATTGAATTTACACCAAGTAATTAAAGACAATGCTTAAGTTCTACGTTTTGGCTCAGATTCTATTATTTGACGGTCAAAATAAAAAATAAAACATCTTGCTTCACTTCTGTTGATTTTTCTTATACCCATAACGTTGTTATGTAGGTGACGTCATAGAAATTACTTTTAAATAAAATTCATCTGAAAAAGACAATAATGATAGGACATTCAGTATAATAAATTAAATAACACACAGCTGAGAGGGTGATAGAGCAGATTGATACCCCTCAAAAAAGCATTGTCTGGAACCTTGGCTTCACCACGGTTGACGATGTTTTCTCCGTGTAACAATGTGCTCTATCACCCTCTCAGCTATGTGTTATTTATATAATAATACATGTAATATAATCTGTATATGCATTCATAACATAAAAGTAATAACATTTTTTTTTAGATCTGAACAATTTAAGAATAAAACATTGAGTGTAAATCTGTTGCCCCTGGACATGCCACAAACAACAATCACAGTCAATCAATATAAATCAGTCATTTCTGTAACAGATTTAAATACCTGCTTCAGTATCATCACTAAGTCATAAAAGTGACTCTTATATGAATTTAATTATCAACTTAACAGTGGAAGTATTAAATTCTAAGTTTTATATAAATAATAATAAATGATTTAACAGTTATGAATAGATCATATGAGGGGATCTCCTGGGATCTGACATTGTGTTCTACAAAAAAGTACAAGTTTTTCTAATTTCACACTTAAACTATTTTTATTTTCTTATCTTTTACATTGATTTTCCTGCAGATATTAAGCATAGTGAACTTTCTCTGTGTTTTTGTAGTTAATTGAGATGTAGGTAAAGACAAGGGAACCTAGCTAAAGTGTTATTTGAATGGTACTAAAAACTTCTGACACATTTATGAATGTAGATAAATGAATTCTTTAGTATCTATATTAATTTGGGGAAGGTAGAGATAATTTTATAGGCTGCTGTACAAGATGAGGGGTAAGACCTTTAAATTATTACTTAACATAATGCTGATGGTCAAATTATTTAATTCTTATAAATCAATTAGGGAGATTTGTTTAATTTGAAAAATTGAAATTTATTTGGCTAAGTTTTTATTATTATTTTTATTGTGGTGTATATAGACAAACCAGTAAAGGAGCTTAAGTTTTATATAATATAAGTTTCAATTGTCGACATAAATATAATAATTTCTCAGATTTTCACCTTGATGTTATTGTAATTGGACATATAACATCTACTATTGTGTTATCCCAAAATAAGGTCAAACTCATGAAAACCTCACTTCTAAATTATTGAAAGCTATCATAGTCCATTAACCAATACAAGATGTTCACAAACGGTAATGTATGTCAGTCAGGCATGTTAATTATAACAATTTAATAAGATAACATTTTGTCAATTTATCCCATATAACTTAAAATTATGTTTTGAAATTTTTTTGCTTGCTCAGCAAAAAATGATTACACTAGGGAATTGACTATAACCAGCATTCCTCAAGGAAAAAAGAAATTAGCTTTGTAATGGAGTTTGCATCTCTGTAAAATAATCATGGCATTGTTATATCAAGTCATCTCCATTGTAAAAATTATCATATGATATTTTAATATAAAGTGATTTTAAAAATTATCAAATTATAATGTAATAATTTCCAATTAATGTACTGGCTCTGGATCAATCATCTAATCATATTTCCCCCTTACCTCCTCATCAAGAAAGAGAAATAAATGTGTTATGTAATTATATTGGTATTGAATAATTTTTAAGTATGAAATTAAAAATTCCTTACAAAAGCCAATTCTTGCAATGGTTTACTGTTGAAATCTGTTGACACAGTGCAATCATTGATGTTAACTTTTGGTAAATGAATATTTAAGATGTTTATAATGTGACCAGGAGCAGAAGAAAACAGCCAGTGAAGAGTATTTCAATATTTTATCAAACAACATGGTGTACATAATAATAGTCAGATTGATATTTATGATAATAGGTCAAATGTCTTGGTCAGAATCTTGACCGCTGAATTATTATAACACAGGACAATTCATATTTATTTTCTTGTATGATTGATTAGATTGGTAAGATTTCAAATTATAGGAATGGTCAGTAATGTGTCTGTGCTGGATTTCACTTAAATGAAATGTAAATAGTCATGTTGAGAATGTTATTTTATGGACATGGTCAGTTAGTTTAAGCAATTACTAAAATTTAGAATGAGAAGTTAGATAAAAATTATCTGGTAATGGATAACACATGATTATGCAGTTATTTATAATGGATAATTATCTGGTAACGGATAACTTTTAATTGTACCCCAATTTTTGACATTTTTTAACTATTATGTCTGTTTGTTTTGTTCACACATTGTTGTCAATATAATGGAGTTTTATGCGACTGTCATACAAGTGAGAGGTTTAGCTAGCTAAGCTATAAATAAAACCAGGTTTAATCCACCATTTTCTACATAAGGAAATGCCTGTACCAAGTCAGGAATATGACAGTTGCTTTTCCATTCTTTTGATGTGTTTGAGCTTTTGATTCTTCTATTTTATAAGGGACTTTCTGGTTTGAATTTTCCTTGGAGTTCCGTATTTTTGTTATTTTACTTTTTTCAGACACTATATAAATGGTGTACCACTCTGTCCAAGAAGGACAGAAACTGGTCAGGCTATGAATCATCACCAGGGTACAAGGCACAGTTAATGTTGTGTTTCGCCATTACCTACTTTTTATATGAGAGGTTATATAGTATTTTATAGGTAGTATTTACCTTTAATAAGGAATATGATTTAAAATGATATATTAAACACTATTTGTAGGAATGGTCAGTGGGTCTCAGCGATGGATAAAATTTGGAATGAATTTCTTTATATTATTTGTGAGTCTATGTCATGTGACATCATCTTTAGACTTTCAATACCACGACCACCAGGATCTGACCAACTACCTGACAAATATGTCCAACAAATATCCTGATCTAACTCATTTGTATAGTGTTGGAAAATCTGTTCAAAGTAAGTTACAATTAATATAACTTGAAAATGCTTGAGTTATCTCCCTTTCAATGTTATACATAAAACACACTCCAACTCTGATAGCAGGAATTACCAATGAGTTATCTCCCTTTCAGTGTTGTCCATAAAACACCCTCCAACTCTGACAGCTGAGTCATCTCCCTTTCAATGTTATACATAAAACACACTCCAACTCTGATAGCAGGAATTACCAATGAGTTATCTCCCTTTCAATGTTATCCATAAAACACCCTCCAACTCTGATAGCTGAGTTATCTCCCTTTCAATGTTTTACATACAACACACTCCAACTCTGATAGCAGGAATTACCAATGAGTTATCTCCCTTTCAATGTTATCCATAAAACACCCTCCAACTCTGATAACTGAGTCATCTCCTTTCAATGTTTTACATAAAACACACTCCAACTCTGATAGCAGGTATTACCAATGAGTTATCTCCCTTTCAATGTTATCCATAAAACACCCTCCAACTCTGATAGCTGAGCTATCTCCTTTTCAATGTTATACTTATACATAAAACACACTCCAACTCTGATAGCAGGAATTACCAATGAGTTATCTCCCTTTCAATGTTGTCCATAATACACCCTCCAACTCTGATAGCTGAGTTATCTCCCTTTCAATGTTATACATAACACACACTTCAACTCTGATAGCAGGAATTACAACATTATACACAAAACACACTCTAACTCTGATAGCCGGAATTACAACATTATACATAAAACACACTCTAACTCTGATAGCAGGAATTACCACAAATATTGGACAATATTGTCAGATTTGTGCAGCCATAATTTGAAAATTTGGTTTAGGAATATACTTTGGTTAGATCAATAAAAGTAATGTTTTTTAAACATTAAAATAAGCCATGTTGCTTGTTTCTGGATACTATTTGTTTATACTTTATTATATTTGCATACGTTATTGCCTATGTATATCCTTAGTTACAGTCGCAAATTAAATGTGAGATTACTTTGATTTTCTGCATTTGAATTTGAACATAATTAAATATTTTTATCTTTACTTGATTCCTCTCATGAGTTCCGCGTTAACTGTTTTATTATAACACGAGAAGTCTTATCTTTGGACCCGTGTATATTGAGAGAAGGTCCACGCTCCATCGAAACCTTTTGTAGATTTTGAAAAAAAAATTCACTACAGAAGGTTCCATCTCCACCAATCACTCTCCGTTTCCCATAGTATTAAAAGTGTAGAAGCCACTAATTAACCAAAAATCCCCAAAAAACAGCTTCTAACAAACAAATTGATTTCTTCACTGACATAAAAAGCATTGAAAATTTAGTTTGTGTAGTCCACTGCACTTCAGCGTTACCACCATTGCATTTCGGCGTAGCTATCAATAAGATAGGGTCACAATGCCACCATTGCACTTCAGCGTGATCAAAAACACACTTCAGTGTCAAACAAACCATCGCACATCAGCGTGACCATCACGGTTCACAGTCCTACATATACATTTTCAATGAACAAAATGTTTTGTTCTTAAAATTTAATTCATCAGAATCGGCTGTTTATTTTTTTGTTATCAGGAATTTAAATCTCATGAAACTATATTAAGAATAAAGGTGGCCAAATAATTACTGAGAGTTCAAATTTTGTTTTTGATCAACCAGTTCTGAGATGTTTATGGAAATGAATAAAAAGATATTTATATTACCTAGCTATAGGTTGGATATTTTTTAGACAAGATTTGCTTGTCCTGACTATTAATTTTTTAGTCAGAGATTTAATTGTCCTGGCTTTTGTTATTTAGACAGAGATTTATATGACCTTGCTTTTGTTGTTTTTGTCTTGCCTGCGATAAAAGTCGCAGAAAGCGAGACATAGGGATTGCTTTTCCGTTGACAACGGCTCCAGCTCTGGCGTCAACAATTGTTAAGTTTTCTGCTTTAGTTAGTTTGATAGGAACTTGTGATAGATCATTGATATTTAATATAAAGTTGCATTACTATCAGTACATATCAGTTTGACAACTATTTCAAGGCCCTGCGCCATAAGCCATGGTCCAGTGACTTTGAATTAATAAGCAATTTTCAATATTAAGTTTTCTGCTTAAGTTAATTTGAAAGGAACTACGTGTGATATATCATTGATATTTTGTATGAAGTCGCATTACTATCAGTACATCTCAGTTTGTCAACCATTTCTAGGCCCTGCCCCTAGGCCATGGTCCAGTGACTTAATTAATTAATAAGCAATGTTAAATACCGGGTATTAAGTTTTCTGCTTAAGTTAGGTTGATAGGAACTACTGTTGATAGAACAATGATATTTTGTGTGAAGTTGCATTGCTATCAGTACATATCAGTTTGATGACTACTTTGAGGCTCTGCCCCATAGGCCATGGTTCAGTGACTTTCAATTAATTAGCAATTTTCAATGATAAGTTTTCTGCTTAAGTTAGTTTGATATGAACTATACTTGTGATAGATCAATGATATTTTCTATAAAGTTGCATTACTGTCTGTACATCTCAGTTTCTCAACCATTTCGAGGCCCTACCCACTAGTTGGTCCAGGGACTTTGAATTAATCAGCAATGTTGCTGTCCATCAGATTGTCTTTTTCTGAATATTATGCCGATAGGCGAGACATATCTCTGTGTCAACAGTTTATTAAGACAGATATTTACATGACCTGGCTATTGTTGTATTTTAGACAAATCTTTATCTATCCTGGCTATTGTTTTTTAGACAGAGATTTACATAGTCCTGGCTATAGTTGTTTTTTAGACAGAGATTTACATGTCCTGGCTATAGTTGTTTTTTAGACAGAGATTTATTTGTCTTGGCTATAGTTGTTTTTTAGACACAGATTTATTTGTATTGTCCTGGTAATTGTATATTTACACAAAGATTTATATGTCTTGGCTATTGTAATTTTACACATAGATTTATTTGTCCTGACTTTTGTTTTTTTAGACAGATCTTTACATGTCCTAGCTATTGTTTTTTTAGACAGAGATTTATTTGTCCTGGCTATTGGTAAGCTGCCACAGAATCACTTGACACTGAGACCTCATGTGAAGTATGTTGGGAATATGCATGGCAATGAGGTAAACTTACTGGGATAAGTTGTGAGGGAGATCAATTTGAGTTTCATGAGATATTGGGTATTCATTCGTCAGTGAGACAGCAAACCAACAACACAAAACTATGAAAAGATTGCTAGAGGGCAGGTAAATTTGAATAACAGGATATGCTGCATATTTGTCAATAAGACAGTAATCCAACAACTCAAAATATGAAAAGACGTCCAGAGTGGAATGTAAATTTGAATGAGCGGTATACATAAATGAGTCAGCAATCTAAAAACACAGAAAAATAATAATAGAGGTCAACATTCATTGTTCAACATTAAACAGGTGGGTTTTTTATTTACAACATTGCAATCTTTAATTGTAAACAATAACTTTAGTAAATGTAAATAGAAATCTATGAAATTTAAACACAAGGTTTATAACCACAAAAGGAAGGTTGGGATTGATTTTGGTAGTTATAGTCCTAACAGTTTAGGAATTAGGGGCCAAAAAGGGGCCCAAATAAGCATATTTCTAGTTTCCAGACAATAACTTGTGGAACGGTGTATGGATCTCTCTGAAATTATACCACAAGTTTCCATACCACAAAGGGATGGTTAGGATTGGCTTTAGGGGGTTATGGCTCAAACCGTTTAGGAATTGGGGGAAAACAAGGGTTTCCTGGTTAATGGACAATTAAAAAAAAAGTACAATGTTATGTTTGGATTACCTCCCTTACACTGCTTTTAAATTATGTATAAAGAAAGTTGTATTGTCTTGAGGTGATTAACTGTCAATTTTTTTTTAGAAGTTACTATTTAAAAATGCTGATTAAGGAATATTAATTTTAGCCATGATTATGTACCGGTATGTCATTTTCTATTTTAAGACTTTTATGATGTATTTAAATGGGTAATTATGGTTGCAAACTCCATTGGAAATTTGAATTGAGATTATGACCATATCTTGAGGGAAAGATATTTTATTTTGGAAAAAATGGGGGGAGGTGAAAAGAAATTGTGAGGGGGTGGGACAACTTTTTTCTAATTTCAGATTTCAGAAAGAAAATTTCTTCAAATATTTTTTTTTGCAAAAAAATGGGGGGGGGGGGGGGGGGGGGTCAATTCACAAAAGCAAAAAATGAATATAAATTCAAATCATATAACCAATTCTAAGTTCTTTGACTACAGTTATTCTGTGTCAGAAACCTATTATGTGTCAAATATATAAATACAATCCAAATTCAGACCTGTATCAAGCGCAAATATTGTGTCCATTTTTGCCCCAACTGTTCAGGGTTTGACCTCTGCTGTCGTATCCAGCTGCGCTTGGCGAAGCAATTTATTATGATTTTGGGTATGCTTAACATGGAATAATTGTTTTGTAGTACTGTCTTACTGGTTTATATAAATAATATTAAAAAATTGTAATTTACAATGTCACCATGGTCACAGTATGACAAATATAACTATAAATTTGTCCAGAGTAAATTTGTAAAGAAAGCTTCATGTAAATAAAAGAGCATTATCTTTAGTAAATATTTTTACCAACTATAGGCAAAGAGATGCTGTTAATTTATTACAGGCTGTAGGCAGGGAGATGCTGCTTCATCTTATAGACTATTATCTGACCAACTACAATGTTAATTCCACTATAAAGACATTCCTGGATAATACAGTTGTACATATCATGCCTTCCATGAATCCAGATGGATTTGAAGTTTCCATGGAAGGTGATTGCTCTGGAGTACAAGGCAGGTATGTATACTTTTTGTTTTGCTTGTATTTCTAGAGGCCTTTTATAGCTTACCATATACTATGGATTAATTTATTTTCATGGGTACCAATTTTCGTGGATTAAGTAAAACTTGCATTTTCTTACATAATTGATTTCATGGTTTTCCAAAAGTCTGCATATAATCATACAGCAAATTAGTAATTCGTTGGACATTTAAATTTGTGGTTTCCCTGTACCCACGAAATCCACGAAAAATTGGTATCCAACAAATAATAATGCATCCATTGTATGTGTTTGGCTCCTTTTTGAAATCTGTACTGTGACTTATGATTGTTAACGTCCCTGTCCTTTGTTCTTTTGTGGATAATTTTCTTATTGCCAATCATATTAAATCGCATCTTCATAATTCATATAATGAATGTATCTTATTTAGGTGAAGGCAGAATTTAGATGTTGGAATGTAATGGTCAATCTAAAATTTATTTGAATATTATTTTTAAAATATAATCTTATTTATTCAGTATTGTAGCATCCTCTTCTATAATTATATGTTTATTGTTATTGTACATTTCAGACCAAACACTAATAATTATGACTTAAACAGAAATTTCCCTGGATATTTCGAGGTAAACAAAGCTCCTATACAACCAGAGACAAATGCAGTGATGGACTGGCTAAAACAACACAGATTTATTCTGTCAGCTAACCTACATGGTGGAGCTATGGTGGCTAATTATCCTTTTGATAATTATATTAATGGTAAATTTAAATACTTATAAAGCTATTAATAGTTTTTGATTGGCACAATATGAGCAAGAATTATTTCCATTATCTTAGTATGTTCTAGGTCAAGGTCTACAAATTCCTTCATAAATCATCCAAATTCATCTTAAAATTGTTTACTGACTGCTAGACACTAGATAAAGTTGTTTACTGAACAACAATGATTTCTTTAAGCCTTGCAGAATTCTGGATCTGTTCTCAGACTTGTTAGTATCACATGTTAAAATTTTGTTAGTCAAATAAGAAAATTAACCAGAGAACATCTCATGCCAAGGGAAATAACTCAAATTCAAATTATGTCATAAAAAACTTTCTCCTCAATATTCCCTGTTTTGTATAACATGAACACTCATCAAGTTTTTATCAAGATGTTTTTTGTAGATGAGAATTATAGATTATCGTTGGTTATCTCAACGAGATTGATTTTCTAGCTTGAGGCGGTATGGCGAAAGTGAGAAAAGCAATCGAGTTGAGATGACCAATGATAATCTGTTTATCGCTATTTTACCTATGAAGACGTTGTTAATTTCCTTGACAATGGCACGTGTTCCCTTAGTTTCTAGGGATAATTTTCATATCACTTGACTCGGCTGAGAAAGGAAATTATCAGTCAGCAAGATCAAAGGAAAAATTCGTAAAATAGCGATAATCCCTTTTATTAGCTCACCTGGCCCGAAGAGAACCACTGAATGGAATGAAACCAAACATGGCATGAATGTTCCTTATGAGGTGCTCACCAAGTGTTGTTACTTTGTAGCCGATCCATCATCCAAGATGGCCGCCAGAGGGGGACTTAGTTTAACATAGGACCCTATGGGAAATGCATACAAATGACTTCTTTTAGAGAACCACTGAATGGAATGAAACCAAACATGGCATGAATGTTCCTTATGAGGTGCTCACCAAGTGTTGTTACTTTGTAGCCGATCCATCATCCAAGATGGCCGCCAGCGGGGGACTTAGTGTAACATAGGACCCTATGGGAAATGCATACAAATGACTTCTTTTAGAGAACCACTGAATGGAATGAAACCAAACATGGCATGAATGTTCCTTATGAGGTGCTGACCAAGTGTTGTTACTTTGTAGCCGATCCATCATCCAAGATGGCCGCCAGCGGGGGACTTAGTTTAACATAGGACCCTATGGGAAATACATACAAATGTCTTCTTTTAGAGAACCACTGAATGGAATGGAACCAAACATGGCATGAATGTTTCTTATGAGATGCTGACCAAGTGTTGTTACTTTGCAGTCGGTCCATCATCCAAGATGGCCGCCAGCGGGGGACTTAGTTTAACATAGGACCCTATGGGAAATACATACAAATGTCTTCTTTTAGGGAACCACTGAATGGAATGAAACCAAACATGGCATGAATGTTCCTTATGAGGTGCTGACCAAGTGTTGTTACTTTGTAGCCGATCCATCATCCAAGATGGCCGCCAGCCGGGGACTTAGTTTAACATAGGACCCTATGGGAAATGCATACAAATGACTTCTTTTAGAGAACCACTGAATGGAATGAAACCAAACATGGCATGAATGTTCCTTATGAGGTTCTGACCAAGTGTTGTTACTTTGTAGCCGATCCATCATCCAAGATGGCCGCCAGCGGGGGACTTAGTTTAACATAGGACCCTATGGGAAATACATAAAAATGTCTTCTTTTAGAGAACCACTGAATGGAATGGAACCAAACATGGCATGAATGTTCCTTATGAGGTGCTCACCAAGTGTTGTTACTTTGTAGCCGATCCATCATCCAAGATGGCCGCCAGCGGGGGACTTAGTTTAACATAGGACCCTATGGGAAATGCATACAAATGACTTCTTTTAGAGAACCACTGAATGGAATGAAACCAAACATGGCATGAATGTTCCTTATGAGGTGCTGACCAAGTGTTGTTACTTTGTAGCCGATCCATCATCCAAGATGGCCGCCAGCGGGGGACTTAGTTTCACATAGGACCCTATGGGAAATACATACAAATGTCTTCTTTTAGAGAACCACTGAATGGAATGAAACCAAACATGGCATGAATGTTCCTTATGAAGTGCTGACCAAGTGTTGCTACTTTGTTGCCGATTTACTGTTCAAGATGGCCACCAGGATATTTTATTAAATAACGGGACCAATATTAATCAAAATTTGGCCTCAATCATTATTTGGGTATCTGTTATGATTTTTATCTATCTTTACATGATTTCTAAAACCAAAGTAGAGTCAGGTGAGCGACACAGGCTCTCGAGAGCCTCTAGTTTGTTCAATTTACCATTAGGACTAAATTTTCCAATACATTTCTTCTATATAGCCTTCTTAATTATCTGTAAAAAGTTTAATACAAAAGTAGTGAAAGACAAACTATTATTAAAGAATTAAAGATGGCTTATTAAGGTACAATACAATTTTATTTTCAGTTCTTGCTGGTACTCATTTGATTGAATTATATTGTTTAAACTGTTATTTATTGATAATATCAAAGTTATTGTTTGATATTTTAGGTTCCATTATTGGTCAGACAAGATATGTTAAGTCCCCTGATGATGATACATTTATACATCTATCTAAGGTTTATTCCTATTCTCATGCCAACATGTACACAGGACAACATTGTGATGATAATTTCCCTGACGGCATTACCAACGGAGCACTCTGGTACCCTGTTCTAGGTAGGTATTCATGATGAACATTACCAAGGGGGGATTCTACACCAGCTATCAGTGTATTTCTGTTATTGTTAATCTGGATTTGTCAATTATGGTTTCCTGGGGACAGACATGACCTATCCTTTTTATGCTCTATATTTTTCATATATTTTTTAACAAATTTTATTTTAGCACTTAAAGCAATCCTTTCTTATATAATGATGAAATGTTTTTGTTCATATTAAGTTATTTTTCCTTAATATTATTTTAGGTGGAATGCAGGATTATAATTACGTAAGAGAAGGATGTTTTGAAATCACTTTAGAAATTGGCTGTTGTAAATATCCACCAACTTCAGAACTTACAACATTCTGGTCATACAACAAATATGCTTTGATCAACTTCCTGATGGCAGTACACAGCGGTAAGTATTTTAAACATCTAATGAAACATAAGGTTTGGATTAATGATAGATTGTTGGTGTTTAACTCCACTTTCTGTACTCTTGGCTATAACTGGCGACCCTTTTTTATTGATGGAAGAAGATTAAAAGACCCTCAGAACTTCAGCAGGAAAACTGGCAATCATAGTCTAAAAAGATTTGAGTCAAATGCATCTGGCACGAGAGGGTTCAAACTTACAACCTCAGTGTTGACAGGCTAGTGATCGCTGTCAATAAACTACTACTAAGACTATATGGCAATCAAGATCCTAAAGAAATAGAGGCAGGAAATTTGACAGATTTTACCCCTTGCATTTTATTAAGTGGTGCATGAATATGCATGGAGTCTCTTGCATTCAAAGATAAGGTCACTAAAAAAATATTATTACTCAATGTCTTGTATTGTCTTACAATTTTATCTTGTTGCAAAAAATGAAACTCAGTTTAAAATCAATTCTGCATAAAATGTAGGTTAAGGCAGCCTGATTTTTTGTATACACCCTCTTACCTTATACCAGGTGTTTGTACTGATACTTGTTGTTTAAATCTGCACCTTAATTGAAATGCTATAGAACTGAAGATTTTATTTGGATAAGACAGCTGGTTGATTAAGTTATTTTGACATTACACAGGTTAGCAGTTAAAACAGTGATTAGTTTATTAGACAAGTTTATATCTTACACAGTGACTTCACTTTAGACAGTTTACACTCTGTTTGATATAAACTATCAGCAGATTTTAGTCTTCAATGTACACATGTATTCTACAATGTAGTTTCTTTAACTACAAATTTATAAAGATCTCAGCTTATTTCATCCATTTTGTTGTTGTACATTTTGCCATTGAGGAATTTAGTGTTGATAGCAGATGTTTGCTTGTATTTGTTAAATTTATTCAAAACTTTTCTAGAAACAATTAATAGCTTGAGATATTGTATAGACACTTGTCTATTGTTGTAGAAAGTATATCACCCTCTAGATGTCATTTGGGGTTTGTTGTTGGGTTTCTGTCTCATTGATGTATACCTCTCATGTCCTTTTGTTCACATTTACATTTTACTAAACTTACTGGTGAATGAATTTCATTGTAGGAGTGAAGGGATTGGTACGAACACCCAACAATACAGAAGTAGTAGGTTATGATATGGCTGTCAAGGGGAGACAAATCTTGTTTAAAAGTTCACAGTATGGAGAATATTGGAGACTTTTACGTCCAGGTAGACATACCATCCAGGTGGGTTCTTTATTTACAACTCAAGAGAAATGACAAGGATCAAATACTACTTGAAAAAGATAAGAGGAATTACCAAATATATTAGGTAGTACAACAACCACTTGATCTGCAGAAAAAACTATCCATTAACTTGATATTTATATCTCTTATAATTACATAGACAATTTATGTGTCATTATCTCTTTATTTTATAACAATTAATGGGTTATAAATAGACTTGCATCAATTATGTCAACATTAAGCACATACATTACATCTAAATATTTTGATATGCATATTTCGTTCATTTTCACCACTTAAATTTTTTATTTATTTTTACCACTGAAAATGAAAAATGGCAGCAATTTAATCATGTAAGTAGTTGTTTTTTCTTGTGAAAAAACGGACCAAATTATTGTCAATACATCAATGTTTTCATGAAACAGATTGCCAAAGCTAACGAACATGTGACGTTATAATTTAATCCTTACTATCAGACATGACAGCATGTGTTTTATTTTGTTTTAACGTTTGTATAGAAGTAATATGAGTTTTGGTGTACATTTCAATTGACAATATATTATTCACTATTTAGGTACTATCTGAAGGAAAAGTTATAGCAGAGAAACAAGTACAGGTACCTAACAATGGTGTTGTAAGGGAAGATATCTATATAGGAGATACCAGTAGTGCCAGTGTTATACAGAGTTGCCTCCCTTTTGTCATATCACTTATTTCTATATGCTTACATTGTGTAGGTATTTTATAGTAAAACATAATTGAAATGCATTAAATGATAATCAAAAGAAAAGTCATAATCATTTATATATTTTTATTTGATTGGTCAATATTCCGTATTATTTTATTTACATCATTATCAATGTTTAAGTACTGTGGATGCGTTATTAATCTTAGTGGATATCAATTTATGGTGGATTTCGAGGATGAACCTCCTACTTAACTGTTCAACTAATTACACATTTTCTATGAGCTTGTATGCAGACTTTGGCAAAACCAAGAAATCAAATATCCATGAAAATCTCAATCCACAAATTGGTACCCACGAAAATAAATGAATCCACCATAATCTTTTAGAACAGGAGATATTCTGTCTCTGATCTTGTTCCCTATACAGTGTACTGTAAATTCAGAAATTATTGCGAGGTTTTTGTTAGTGGGAATAGTGCGACTGGGTGAGTATCGCATATGTCTGTAAGCAGATTTTCCTGAAAGTGCAATAATTAATCTCGCATTTTTGTCCATTCTTCAAAAATCACAAAAATAAATGCACACATTAGTTTCAGAACTTACAGTAATTGATATTCTCTATTTTTCACTTCCATAGTCAGATGTTTGTACATGTAATGAAATAGTCATCTGTTTGTACATGTAATGAAAATTGTTTAAGTATTGTGCCTTTATATATATAACATAGTACCATTCAGGAAAAAAAATTCTCAGGATAGGATAGATTAAACAGAGTCAGAAAGAAATCAAAAATTAAAAAATATCTTTCTTGTTTTTTTTCTCCAAATTCTACAAATGTTATTTTTGTGTGTAAAATAAAAGTTCTGCTATTAACAAACTATTCTTTGTCAAGTAGAATCATGCCACATTCACAAACATACTGCATGTAAAATAAATCCTAAACTTCTCATCCAAGTTCTGGACAAAACAGTTTGATCAATAAGGAGATAAATGGACTGCTGAAGTGGCCTTCCAAAATGACAACAAAATACCAAATGTGATTGGGAAATTGGTGTACAAGTTTAAAGCAAACTTCTTTACCACATATAAAACAAACTTGAATTTTAAAGAATTAACTCTCATGTTTATAATCCTACAGATTTTTAACTTAGGGCTATGCCAGAAATAAATGGAAGGTGGGGGGGTTTGGAAGGCAACTTTTTGTTTAACCCTGCCATGCATAACATTTTAATTGATTTTTTCATATAGTTGTTAAGGTTATTTGTCTAAAATAACCACCACCCATCAAATTTTATTAAAAGTGCCTTATGACCCCCCCCCCCCCCCCATTCAATTGATTCTGGGAAAACCCTTACTAAACTGGGAGGTCAGTGAAGTCAGGTTGAATAGAGTGTTTAGAAAGTTTGATATATAAACCATTTTTTTAAAACAAATATGCCAAAGCTGCAATGTAACACTGGATAGAGGGATGAAGCCAGTTAAGTTTTCCTTCAAGTAAACTTGTCGTATATCATTTATGTAGTCTAAGAACATACATAACACTATTTGCACAATTTAATCAGAATTCATTTTAACTATTATCTAGTCATTTTTGTTTATATATACTGGAATAATCAAATAGTTTCTTTCCCTTTTTATTAACCTATCTTTTATTGTTTTGGAAGTACGAACAAAATGAACATAGTAACACACCTGAAAATATTGAGCGTGTCCATACATTTTATATATATATATATATAACATCACTGAAGAGACATTAATTGCTGAAATCCGGATATCATAGGTTTGAACGTTGTTTTCAATTTAGACTTGTTTATATTTTTTCGTTTGGGCTTGTATTATATTTGCCTTCGGGTTTATATGATCCGTTCATCCTATTTTGACTCCTCAAAATTCAAGAGTCTATCCTAAATTGAGGTAAATTATGTGGCCTTCCAATAACCTTTTCGATTCCTAACATCACTGAAGAGACATTAATTGTCGAAATCCTGATATGGTGTACAAAAAATCTTTGCACCTTTGTTTGCGGTATACCATCTTTGCCGCAAGTTTATTGTTTTCTGTTTGGTATTAAATTTATAGTTAAGATCCATTTATTACACCTTGTGATCCGTTTATTTGGCAATCGCCAATGGCAGTCAGCAGGGTTTAAGAACATTTGTTGTTCGACCTGTTAGTCAAATGCGTTTTGTTAAAATATACTTTCTCACTTTTTTGGTCTTTTGGAAAATGTTGTTTGTGCTGTATTTAGACCCCTCTAACAAGAAATTTGTTTTGCATGCACACATATAAAAATTGCGGTTTTTATCCAACGCAATCATAGGTTTGAACGTTGTTTTCAATTTAGACTTGTATATATATCCGTTTATTTGGCAATCGCCAATGGCAGTCAGCAGGGTTTAAGAACATTTGTTGTTCGACCTGTTAGTCAAATGCGTTTTGTTAAAATATACTTTTTCACTTTTTTGGTCTTTTGGAAAATGTTGTTTGTGCTGTATTTAGACCACTCTACCAAGAAATTTGTTTTGCATGCACACGTATAAAAATTGCGGTTTTTATCCAACGCAATCATAGGTTTGAACGTTGTTTTCAATTTAAACTTGTGTATATATATATATATATATATATATGATCATTGTGACAGAACATCTTTGATAAGACCTGTATTTTGTTTTTTTAAACAACATTTTTATTTAGTCTTGTACTATTTGAAGAGTATTTAATAATAAGGTCACTGTAAATGCTATCTACTGTTAGTATTATTTATATGTTTTTATTCATACCAGTATGATTATATGTACTTTAAAGTAACAGTATTTCTAAGAATTGCTAAGCAACCATAAATCGTGGTTAAAAAATTATCAGTTGACAATGCAAATATTAGGTGGTATTGCTAAATGATAAAGAAAGCTAGTGATTTTTCCTAAATATTTGCATCCATTTTGAGAATGTCTATAGAATGAATTTTATGCATCAAATTCAGGGGAGATAAGTCATCTCCTACCATGCAGTTAACCATCATTCTAATGGAACAACAGTGTTCATCATTATTACATTTGCTGATTTGGCTATATTCAGTATTTTATACTGTTTTTAGATTTTGAATTTTTTCTCATAAACCAAAAAAAAATCTTAAATTAAACATGTATGCACTGGCTATTCCTTTTATTATTGCTGAACGCCCCTCCTTTTTTTTAGTATCAGGAATATAAAGACTAGTATAATAAGTGCATCCATCAAGTACTCATACACTTTGGAAGCACTTAATCAAAAGTGGTTGAATGATAAAAATTCCAATTCACTTTTAATATGTATAGCAGTGTACGTCAGCCTAATATTATATATATATAAAACTGTATTCATCTCATATATGTACTTAGAATTTTAATGTATGACTTTATTACTGTAATATACAAATCAATACCTACATAACCTCATCCTGTGTAAAGAACATTTATATCAACAGAATCAGTTTTGTATGTGTGCTATGAATTATAATTTTTCTAAATGAGAACTTTTTGTATGTTATTGAATATTAAATAGTTATTTTACAAATGGTGTTTATTGAACAGAATATAAAGATGTCCCATGGTTTATAGTTCAAAAAAAAAAACTTGGCAAAAATTCCATTTAAAAGGTTGAATGCTGACAAAGTCAAAAATTCTGGCTAGCTCATTTGAGAAAATGTCTTTAGTATAATTTGGCCATGTGAGCTATTGCCATTAATTAATGTCAGTCTTGATAATCCTCTGTCATTGTAAACATCACAAAATCATCTATCAAATCACTGGAAACTGAGACTGAATCATCTTTCTGTATTTGGTATAAAGTTTATTTTTGGTACCTACCAATCAACCAAATGGGTGAAATGGCAGCTAAATTTAAGGCAACAGTAGTTTACCAAAGTTCAAATCTTATAAATCCAGTAAGAAGATACAAGTCAATGTAACAAACAAACATTGAGGGAATCGCATCAACTCCAAAGTAGCAAGACCAGTCGCATAGATGGTGTAAGCATCTCTAACCTTTACACACAGTCAAAAATAGAACATACAGGTAACATGCAAGTAAATGTCTAATATCTGAAAAAACATAATGGATCAACATACATTCTTTTTCCGCCAAATTATTAGGATTCTTCTTATAGGAGTAATTGCTGATAAATGAAGTTTTTTACCCATGTTAGTATTTTTGGTAATTGAGAAACTAGGACAGTAAATATCATTAGTACACCAAAGTGTACAAAAAAATCAATATTACCAAATTGTCAATGAGCTCTCTAAGGTGTTATTGTCATATTGTCATATTGAAATACAAGTTAACCACATTTCTGTATGTTTTTCTTCTTTAAAACTTTAATAGAGAGAAACTGTAAACAACAGTAAAAAAAAACAGCAAGACAAGATCTACAAATAATTTGGTAGCCAAAATTGTTAATCTTGTTGGAGTTATTGTCCTCAAATGAATATTTTAACTCGTTCTGTTTTTTGCAATTATGTTGAAAACTGTAATAGATGAAGAAATTTGTAAACAGAAAAACAGATTTGAAATCCAAGATCTACAAAAAAATCAAATGACAGAAATTGAAATCAATTCTTTAAGGAGTTATTGCCCTTGAATTGCATGTTTTGATAATATTTTGCTGTTTTTGTTGGGGTTTTTTTTCTACTAGAGAATTTTCTCCAGAAACAAGAGGCTCCCAAGAGCCTGAATCTTTCACCTGGTGTAAAATATGACATTTTTTAATTACTTTTTTCCTTTATTGCAATCAGTATGTTTGCTTTTTGTATATCTTATTTAGCAGCAGTTTATTAGGTTTTGTATTGCTGACTTAGGGCAATAACAAATGTAAGAGGTCAAAAGATTCGTCTCTGTTTAGTTATGCGTATTTCATATTTTGTTGAACATTTTAAAGGTCGAAAGATTCTCTCTCAAAATAGTTTCCTTAAAAAATGCAATAAAGTAAAAATCATTGTTTAAGCCAATAACTTCTATATAAGGGGTCAAATTTAGATTATGCTATGTTGACTTATTGGTAATTTTTACTGTTTAAAATTTTTCTCTATCTGTTATAGTTTTTCAGAAATAACAAAAAAACTCTGAAATTGACAAAAGCAGGACATTTACAGGGCAATTACTCCAAAATAGGGTATTAGATTTTTCTGAAAATTATGCAGGAGACAGGCCACTGCTGATTAATTCACGCCTTTGTCATATTTTCTCTAACTGCTTTAATTTTAATATATAGGCTAAAAACTGGCTTTGAATTTGGTTAAAATTTACATTTCAGGGGGCAATAACTCCAAAATGGGTTGTTTTATTTTTCTGAAAATTCGGTAGGAGATAACCTTGACCTGTTGATCATTTTAATTCTGTCGAATTTTAGGGAATATAAGCCAAAAACTGCATTTTACCCCTATGTTCTATTTTTAGCAACATCAGTCATGTTTGTTGATGGATCAAATCCCCAGATAGACTTTTTGAACAAGATACTCTAAGAAACATTTAGGACGCCAAGAGATGACAAAAGATAATATAAATATGGCCTTCTAGAAATCAGCAAGATAAGATCTTCAATTGTGACTTATATCACGGAGATTGCCCTTAAAAGATGATTCTTACTCCTGTAAATAAAATCACTTTTCAATCATCTGATTTGACACTCTGATCAGTGCTGATCGTGTATTTATCAATCGTTGTGGTTATTATATAACAACCTAGCCTGAAATAGTCGTGACTGGGTATATCTTCTTTTCATGTCTGTGCAATTAAATGAGAGGTTGAACAGTCGGTCCAAAATCTTTGCACAGGCCTTATTTGAATATTTATTTTCATTTTTTTCTACAAGAATAAACACACTGAAATGCGCGCCTGCTTTACTGGTTATAATTGAATTTAATATTGAAAATCTTATAAGATTAAGGACTTACTATAGATGGCATAGACGTTTTGTTTCAGGCATTTTTGTTTGGATGTCCCAAATGTTTTCCAAACTTTTTGTTCCTAACGTACCTTATGCTTTTGTAGACACAGTTTTCCTGTAATCAATAGAATTATCTATATAAGTTCATGTTCAATTATAAACTTAAGTCCAGCTGTCCTTGCTCATGAACTGTTATGCCATGTAGTATAATAGACTAATAAACTTGCATTTGAACTTTGGTGGATAGTTGTCTCATTGGCAACCATACCACATCTCATTATTTTTATATTAAAAGATTAATTTATTCCCAGATGTGTTTATTTAAAATCTTATCGTGTGAATTAAGCCTCAAGTTCCGTTAGACAAAACTGTATTCGGTCTTCTCCCTCACTTTGGTC